TTCTATATTTTTATTATTCTGTTCTATTCCATTCCACTCCACCCCACCTCACCCCACCCCATCCTCGGTTTGCATAATGAGGACTAGTAACTTGAGCAGTTTTTACAAAAGAGGAGATAGCTTTGCAAGCGGCCGGGATTTAAATGCTTAAATTCTCTGCCTTGCTTTCGGCTTCCTAGCAAGCCCTTGGTAGCATCTGGAAGGGTTGGTCCGGATGGTGTTGCTTATCAGCGGAGCGATGTCCGTGCGTGTCTCGGGATCAAAGCTGTCGGCGATGTCACGGTGGGGACCTCGTGCGCCAGTCCAGCTCCGAGCATCCTTAGTCATCTTTGAACAGAAGCGTTGAAATCCTACCACGTTCCCAGAAGTGGCCACTGAGTCATCCTGTTGGTTGCAGGAAGGTTGACTGCAAACTCAACCGGAGGGGAGGGGGGGATCTGGCTCCGTCTGGGGAGGGGGGTGGCTGGAGGAAGGCAGATCATGTCTCTTTTTTGGGGGGGGTAGATTATTGGGGTGGATGGGAGGAAATCCCTACCAGCTTTTGTCCTTCTGAAAATATTAGAATGGAATGGAATGAAATAGAAATAAGGAATAGAATAGAAATAAGGAATAGAAGAGGAGTGCAGTGGAGAAGAACAGAACAGAACAGAAATTAGAATAGAAATTAGCATAGCATAGCATAGCATAGAATAGAATGTATGGAATAGAATAGAAATAGAATAGAATATATGGAATGAAGTGGAGTGGAGTGGAATGCAATAGAATAGAATAGAATAGAATAGAAATTAGAATAGCATAGCATAGCATAGCATAGAATAGAATATATGGAGTGGAATGGAACGGAACAGAACAGAACAGAATAGAATAGAATAGAATACGGAATAGAATAGAAAAATTAGAATAGCATAGCATAGAACAGAATATATGGAATAGAATAGAAATAGAATATATGGAATGAAGTGGAATGGAATAGAATAGAATGGAATAGAATAGAATACAGAATGGAATGGAATAGAATAGAATAGAATAGAATAGATATATGGAATAGAATAGAAATAGAATATATGGAATGGAGTGGAGTGGAATAGAATACGGAATGGAATAGAAGAATAGAATAGAATAGAATAGAATAGAATAGAATAGAATAGAATAGAATAGAATAGAATAGAATAGAAATTAGAATAGCATAGCATAGAATAGATTGTATGGAATAGAATAGAAATAGAATATGTGGAGTGGAGTGGAATGGAATGGAACGGAACAGAACACAACACAACACAACACAGAATGGAATGGAATGGAACAGAACAGAATAGAACCTTGGAGGTCTTCTAGTCCAGCCCCCTGCTCAAGCAGGAGAACCTATCCCAGACAATTCATTTTGGGGAGAAACCCCTGAAGTTAATTTGTTAAGAGTTGGTACATTTCCAACATCTCTCTGACTCCCCCTATCTATATTATTATCATTATTGTTGTTGTCGTCATCATCATCATTATTATTATTATGGATCATCGCACAGTCAGCCAGATGTTCAGACTGGATTTGGCATTTTGTCTACCTATTGAGTCCTTACCCAGGACCTGGGATAGGCAGAGGTGGATGTTTGATGGTATTACAGGTATCGTCGCAGGATGGAAGCAGTTCCTAGTAAGGCCGCCTTTTGCAATTGACTAATAGCGAATTTGTCAATGCCAATGGTGTTCAAGTGGTGCTCCAGTTGTTTTGGGATTGCACCCAAGGAGCCTATTACTATTGGTACTACCCTTGCTTGCTTTTGCCACAGTCTTTCTATTTCTATTTGTAGGTCTTTGTGTTTTGTTATCTTCTCCAGCTCTTTCTCTTCTATTCTGCTGTCTCCAGGCACTGCCACATCCACTCTCCAGACTTTTTTGTCTTTCTTATCAACAATTGTTAAGTCTGGGGTGTTATGTTGCAGGTGCTTGTCTGTTTGAATTCTGAAGTCCCAAAGCAGTTTAACTTTATCATTTTCTATGACTTTCTCTATTTTATGATCCCACCAGTTTTTGCTTACAGGCAAGTGATATTTTTTGCAGATCTTCCAATGCACCATTGTTGCTACTTTGTCATGCCGCTGCTTATAGTCAGTCTGTGCAATCTTCTTGCAGCAGCTTACCAGGTGGTCCACTGTTTCTTCAGCTTCTTTGCATAGGCAGCACTTACTGTCTGTTGCTGTCTTCTCAATTTTGACTTTATACGCATATTGTTGTTGTTGTTGTTGTTATTATTATTATTATTATTATTATTATTATTATTATTATTATTATTATCATCTTGATTGATGAAGTTGCTTGGATGAGCAGCGAAACATTTCAGATTAACAAATTCTGGTCCAGTTGCCACAGTTCAACCATTTAGTTATTTTTGGCCTGGATGATTGAGTGGTATTGGCTTATATTTCTGAAAACGAAGGATTTCTGAGCAGCCGTTTGGCTCTGCTAGACAGAATTCGGCTTCGGTGCTAAAAACCCGGCTGCCTTTTATGAAAGGTCAGCCAAATTCGGTGAGTCCGAATGTAACCTATTATCTATCCAATACAGCCAGTCCTCGACATACGACTGTATATAAGCCCAAAATTTCTGTTGTTAAGCGAGTTTCGCCCCATTTTTATGACATTTCTTGCCGTCATCGTTAAGCGGATTGCTGCAGTTTTGTTAAGGTAGTGACACCGTTGTTAAGTGAATCCGGCTTCCCCTCCCCCTTGACTTTGCTTGTGAGAAGGTCGTAAAAGGGGACGCCGCGACCGTCATAAATGTGAATCAGTTGGCAATCATCTGAATTTTGATCCCCTGGCCACGGGGATGCTGCAACAGTCGTAAACTGTGAAAAACGGTCGTAAGTCATTTTTTTCACTGCTGTTGGAACTTTGAACGGTCACTAAATGAACTGTCGTTAAGTGAGGACTACCAGTATAATTTTTCCCTGCGCTTCTGTGGCCCAGATTCCCCGTTCGGAAGAAGCTTCTTGGATGAGAAGTGAAACGTTTTCAAGGAAAAAAAAAAACACCAAAACCCCAAGAAACTCTAGTTGCCTTTTGGAAAAGCAGTCTCTTATTTGAGCCAGGGGTTGGACTAGATGACCTACAAGATCCCTTCCACCTCTGTTATTCTGTTATTTTCCAAGCTACGGGTAGTCCTCGCCTGAACGACCGCGACTGAACCCCCAAATTTCCATCGCCCAGGAAGACAGTCGTGAAGTGACTCGCGCTGTATTTTACGACCTTTTTCCCCCTGCCATAGTCGCTAAGTGAATCGCTGCCATCCTTAAGTGAATTGTACAGTCATAAAACGAATCCGGCTTCCCCCCCCATTGGCTTTGCTTGTTGGAAGGCTGCAAATAGTGATCAGGTGACCCTGGGACGCTGCAACCCGTCGTAATTAACGTGTCGGTTGCCAAAGGCCCACGTTTTCATCACAGGACTGTGGAAACAGACGGTCGTAAGCGCAAGGACAGGTCGTAAGTTAGTTTGTCAGCGCCCTGGAAACTTTGAACAGGCACTAAACGAATGGTCATAAGTTGAGGACTTTAACTTCCAGCTGGGGTCTTCAAAATTGGCCCTTTGATGACTTGTGGACTTCAACTCCCAGAATTCCTTAGCCAGGCACGCTGGCTGAGGAATTCTGGGAGTTGCAGTCCACAAGTCATCAAAGGGTCCTAGTTCCCTCACGCTGGCTGAGGAATTCTGGGAGTTGAAGTCCACAAGTCATCAAAAGGTCATAGTTCCCTCACGCTGGCTGAGGAATTCTGGGAGTTGAAGTCTATAAGTCATCAAAGGGTCATAGTTCCCTCACGCTGGCTGAGGAATTCTGGGAGTTGAAGTCCACAAGTCATCAAAGGACCAAGTTTGAAGACCGCTGTTCTACAGTCTGATTCCAAGCCTTTGGGGCATCTTGTCACCTAACGAAGATATTTCCAATTTTCTTTTGATCATGTAGAGATGGCTACTACTACTACTGTACTACTAATCTCGGTTTGTTAATCCCTTTCCAGGGATTAAGCGTAAAGCTGTTTTTCTTAACGCCATCCCTCTAATTACACAGCTATTCCCACGGGGCCCTTTTATACAGCTGAAACTCTCAAAGGCGAGCTAGGCCTATATATTTTGAGGAAGCGCTTCCAAAATGAGAAGAAATTTCACATTACGCCTTTAAAATGACTAGCATAAAAGAGGGGGGTTGAGGGGACGGTGGGAGAAGGCTGGGGAATTCTGGGAGTCGAAGTCCACCCATCTTAAAGCAGGCTGGCTAGGGAATTCTGGGAGTTGAAGTCCATGTTAAAGCAGGCCAGCTGGGGAATTCTGGGTGTCAAAGGCCACTTATCTTAAAGAATGCTGGCTAGGGAATTCTGGGGAGTCGAAGTCCACCATCTTAGAGCAGGCCGGCTGGGGAATTCTGGGAGTTGAAGTCCACCCATCTTAAAGCAGGCTGGCGGGGAATTCTGGGAGTCGAAGTCCGCCCATGTTAAAGCAGGCCATCTGTGGAATTCTGGGAGTCGAAGTCCACCCATCTTAAAGCAGACCGGCTAGGGAATTCTGGGAGTTGACATCTGCCTGTTTTAAAGCATAATGTCTGGGGACTTCTGGGAATTGAGGCCCCCTCATCTTAAAGCAGCCTCTCTAGAGAATTCTGGGAGTTGAAGTCCACTCATCTAGCCCCAAATTCGGGGTCTCATCAGGGATTTGAAACAGCCCTGCCTGTTCCCGTTCACAAAAAGGGTTCTGAGGACTTTCTTAGGCCTGCACCTCTCCTTCCCAACCTCACCGATGCCTAGACGGGTGGCCTTCACCTCCCAGAATCCTCAGCAGTGGCTAGCTGGCTGGGGGATTCTGGGAACTTAAGAACATTCAGGTGGGCTTTTTTGCACCTGTAGGGAAGAAGTCTTGCAAACCCACAGCCTGCCCCCTTTGTTTTTAAGCTGCCGTGTGTGTGTGTGTGTGTGTGTGTGTGTGTGTGAAAATCACACCCTCCTTGTCTTCTTTCAGGTCGGCTAATACTGCTGTACCACCTGCGGCTGCCGGAGGAGAGGCCGGGGGTCCTCCCCCCCCACCGCCCAACCTCACCAGTAACCGGAGGCTCCAGCAAACCCAGGCTCAAGTGGATGAGGTGAGGATTCTGGGAGTTGAAGTCCACGCTAGGGGAGGGGAACATGGCTCCCGAGGTTTGGAGGATAAGGTGGTGTTGGGGATATCTTGTGCCCCTATTTTTGGTGCCTTGGTTAAGGTTTGATTTCCCACCAGCATTTCCAAGACCTTCTTTGGTGATGATTTTCTCAATATTAATTACATTATTAACGTAGACCAGTGGTTCTCAACCTTTTTAATGCCGTGACCCCCCAACCGGTCGTAAGTCGAGGACTACTCAATCGGTTGTAAGTCGAGGACTACTCAACTGGTGCAGCACCGTTTGCAGAATGGGACTTTTGGCGGGCTCAGCAGGGCAGAGACAGCCTGGACAATCCCTATTGGCTTTTGAAAGCCAATAGAATTAGACTCTATTCAAGAGAGTCTATTCTATTGGCTTTCAAAAGCCAATAGAATAAAAGGGAGTAGCACAGCTAAGGAAAAGGGGCAAAAAATGGCGGACTGCGTTGTTTGGTGACCCCCGTGAAATGGTCGTTCGACCCCAAATGGGATCCCGACCCACAGGTTGAGAACCACTGACGTAGACAGCAACCCTCTCGGTTGGTTTTTGATTGACGTGAAATAAAGGCATATTCCTCAATTTACAAAGAAGTTTTGCTTTAAAAATAACCTTGCGTTCAATCTCCATAGACCGGGGTGGGTTTGGGGGGGCATAATAGGAATTGGGGTGGGCTCTGGGAGATCTACCCCCTTGTTTAGTCAGTTGTACTGTGTGTCAATCTTCTCGACTTCTGTGGGGTCCTTGGTGCCCCCTCTGAGCTTGGCGGTTTCCTTGCAGACATTTCAGGACCCGACTAGGGAACATCATCAGTGCTTTACGTTTATAGAGGACTTCCGGTTTTGCGCCCGTAGTGCATGGCCGCGGGAGAGCGGGCCTCCGCTCCCCATGGCTAGTTTCACCCTGTCAGGGCGACCCTAGATGGGTCCGAAGTCACCCTGAAGAGGTGACCGTGAAGGAAGAGGTGCCCCGTTGATCACGAAGCAACAGCGATCACTTCGTTTGATCCGGGGGAAGCCCTCCGACCCAACAGGAGAAAGGCTGGCATGAGATCAGCGTCTAGCCCAGGCTACTTGCAGCCAAAGTCCCAGAGCACGAATCTGAACATTGATGATCTGTGTGCTTGGAATTGGTGAGAATATTGATCTTCTTTCTTCTATCTACTAATTGAATCCTTGAGAAAGATCCCCAAAGCAAGAAAACCTCCGGAAGTGAAGGGAGGGGACTATATCCCCATTCCCTTACAGACGGAAGCGGCGAATTAATATTTAGGGGGAAAGAGAGATACTAAAATTCGATTTAGAAATGTTTTTTAAATGTTATTTACTCTTTCATTGTTTATCCCAGTTGGTAGTTCCTTGGTTGGGGCATTGCTTACTTCTTGGTCTCCTGTTCATCTTGGGGTTAACCCCCCGCTCTTCTCTCCGCTTTGGCACCTGGTTCGTGGTTCTTTTGCTGCCTTCCGCGACGTCTCTCACTTTCTCCCCGGCTTCTTTCTCTTTCCCTCCAGGTTGTGGACATCATGCGAGTGAACGTAGATAAGGTCCTCGAGAGAGATCAGAAGCTTTCGGAGCTGGACGACCGTGCCGATGCCCTTCAAGCCGGAGCATCCCAATTCGAAACCAGCGCCGCCAAGCTTAAGCGCAAATACTGGTGGAAGAACTTAAAGGTAGGATGGGGTGGGTGGGGGGGGGAATGACCTCCTCGCCCGAAAATCTCGTTGCCTCTTTCCCTTTAGCCAAAGGATCAACCTGACCTTGACTTCGAGACCCCTTGTAGTCTTCTCCCTCGGAAGCGCAGCCGGCATTATCCGCTGAAGACCTCTGAGGTTAAATCATACATTCAGAGCTGGAAGGGACCTTGGAGGTCATCTAGTCCAACCCTTTACTCAAGCAAGATGATGATGATGATAAAAAAGTTGGAAGGGACCTTAGAGGTCATCTACTCCAATCCCCTGCTCAGGCAGGAAACCCTATCCATTTCAGACAAATGGCTGTCCAGTCTCTTCTTAAAAACTTCCAGTGTTGGAGCCTTTACCGCTTCTGGTGGCAAGCTATTCCACTGGTTAATTGTCCTCACTGTTAGGAAGTTTCTCCTTAATTCCAAGTTCTTGGAAGCAAGCACCAGATAAGACTATTAAATTAAATAAACAGGACGCTGGACTCTTGAGTTTAAAGGACCTTGCATCACTCCTCTAGGGAATAATAGAATCGGGAGGGACCTTGGAGGTCTTCTAGTCCAACCCCCTGCTCAAGCAAGAGTCTCTAGACCAGGGGACTGGCTGAGGAATTCTGGGAGTTGAAATCCACAAGTCATCAAAGCGTCAAGTTTGAAGACCCCTGGTCTGGATCTAAGCCCGCGGTTTCATCAAAATGGCCGACTGAGGAATTTTGGCAGTTGAAGTCCACAAGTCACCAAAGGGCCAAGCTTGAAGACCCCCTGCTTGTGGACTTCAACTCCCAGAATTCCCCAGCCACAAATGCTGGCTGAGGAATTCTGGGAGTTGAAGTCCACAAGTCATCAAAGGGCCAGGTTTGATTAATTGTTCTCCCCATCGAGTTTCTCCTGGTGATGGATCAGACAGAAAATCCCCACTCGATTCTTTTAAAATTCTGTGTTTAAAAAAAAAGAAAAAAAATCTTGAAGCAATCGGAGAGAAATACGGGCGAAAAAGGAACATATTGCATGGAGCAGCACCTGTGCAGAGAAGGTTTGGAAGAAGAGATCTCAGGATGTGGTTAGATTCAAAAAGGGGAAGAGGACGTTGGTGGGAGGGAAGGGGCACGTTGGCTTTGGGCAGGAATTCTGATCTCCCTCGTGATCTCTGCAGTTACCTAGTTCTGTTTGCAATCCTGTTTCCCAAGGTGATCCGTCGGATCATCTGCATGGAATCCGGTTTCGGAAGAGGGTGAGCTTGGTGTGGACCCCACTTGAAAGCAGGCCCAGCCACAGGGTCCTGGTAGTCTTTTGGATGTACGTCATGAAAGTCTTCCGGGTTCTCTAGCAGCAGATCTCAATTGGAGCAACTTAAAGGTGGCTGGACCTCAACTCCCAGAATCCCCCAGCCAGCATATCATTTTCCTACTTCATTGCCATGCCATCCAGCCCACCTTGAAACTCCTTTTCTGAATTTAGCTTGCCCTGGGTTATTTATTTCTTTCAAATTTGCCGGCGTCAAGATATATTACGTCTACTGCATTCCCACCCTCTATTAAGAAAGTCACCCCCTTCAAAAACAATGTGATGATTGTTCTTGTCCTGTCCGTGCTGAATTCCAGAGTAAATCCTTGATGGCTGGGGAATTCTGAGAGTGGAAGAAAAGCTAATTTAGGACGCAAAAAGACTTTGATCTGAAAAGTTCTAGGAGAGGCTTTGCTTTCAACGGGAAATTGCTCCCTTGCGGTGTCAGCTGATGCAATGCAGAACTAAATAGAATTAGAGCTGGAAAGAGACTTTGGAGGTCTTCTAGTCCAGCCCCCCCTCCCCCCGCTTAAGCAGGAGAATATATACCATTTCAATTAATCAATGAATCAATCAGAATAGAGCTAGTCCAATGCACCCCCTTCCTGCTCAAGCAGGAGAACCTATACCAGGGGTAGGCCACCTTGGCTCTTTTATGACTTATGGACTTCAACTCCCAGAATTCGTGAGCCAGCCATGCTGAGGGGAAAAGGAGAGGTTTCCAAGCTGAGCCAGGCTGGCTCAGGAATTCTGGGAGTTGAAGTCCACGAGTCATGAGGGGGCCATAGTTCCCCCATGCTGGCTCAGGAATTCTGGGAGTTGAAGTCCACGAGTCATGAGTAGTTCCCCCATGCTGGCTTCTGGAGTTGAGTTCATGACCATAGTTCCCCATGCTGGCAGGAATTCTGGGAGTTGAAGTCCACGAGTCATGAGGGGGCCATAGTTCCCCCATGCTGGCTGAGGAATTCTGGGAGTTGAAGTCCACGAGTCATCAAGGGAGCCATAGTTCTTCATGATGGCTTAGGAATTCTGGGAGTTGAAGTCCACGAGTCATCAAGGGAGCCATAGTTCCCCCATGCTGGCTCAAGAATTCTGGGAGGAATTCTGGGAGTTGAAGTCCACGAGTCATCAAGGGAGCCATAGTTCCCCCATGCTGGCTCAAGAATTCTGGGAGTTGAAATCCGGAAGTCATCAAGGGAGCCATAGTTCCCCTATGCTGGCTCGGGAATTCTGGGAGTTGAAGTCCATGTCATCAAGGGAGCCATAGTTCGCCCATGCTGGCTCAGGAATTCTGGGAGTTGAAATCCACGAGTCCTAAAAGAGCCAAGGTTGCCTACCCCTGACCTATACCATCCCAGTCTTGTTTTTAAAAGCCTCCTGGGGTGGAGTGCCCACGACATCTGGTGGCAAGCCGTTCCACAGGTTAATTGTCCTCCGTGTTAGGAAGTTCCTCCTGAATTCCAGGTCGGTCCTCTCTCGGATCAGATTCCAACCTATTTAGACCGCTCACAAGCCTGTCTTTCCTTCTCTCCCACGGCAGATGATGATAATCCTGGGGGTGATATGCGCCATTATCTTGATCATCATCATTGGTGAGTGACTCTTTGCCAAAGGTGGGGCGGTGGGGGAGCAACGAGGGACAGGAAAAGGGCCTTCAGTGTGGGCTCTAAAATTTGAGCCCCATTTGGACCCAAATTATTGCAAAGCCCTTTGTTGTCATTCCTCCATTTTTGGGGGGCCAATCCTTAAGGTCGCCAACGATGGCCGACAGCATTGGTAAAAATTTGCTTTCTACTTTTCGTCCTCGGCTGGCTTAAGCGACCGTTCGAAAGTTAGCACAGCGCTGAAAAAAAGCGAATTACGCATGTCACACTTCAAAGGACCCTCGCAGCCTCTCCCGGGGGTGTGTGTGACATGATCCAAATTCCGACGCCTGGAACTGACTCATGTTTACGACGGCCGCAGCGTCCCGGGGGGCGAGTCGCGCGATCCCTTTTTGGCGACCGTCTGAGCCGGGGAGGGGGGGGCAAAGCCGGATTCCCTGACTAAAAAAAGATGATCAAAGCGGGCCAGTCACGGGAACAACCCGTTTTTTTACGACCGAACGACCATATATTATTTCCGTCGTATGTTGAGGACTCCCTGTAAAATATCTCTTTTTTTTCTCTCTCTCTCTCTCCTTTTTCTCCTCAGTTTACTTCAGCACTTAGTGGAACTTCTCCGAGACGTTTTTCCCCATCCAGGAACAGCGGCCGGGAGAGGCGCACGGGGCCAAGTCTTCCAGCGCCAGCTTCCCCTCCATACACCCCCCCTCGCCCCCCTTACCCCTCCCTCCCTCTCCCCTCCCTCCCCTCCCCGTGTGTGTGAGTGTGCGTTGCGTGTGGGTGTCTTGTAAATAGCCCGATTTGTTATTTATACCTATACATATATACATATACATATATATATATACATAAAATATATATATATTATATTATATTATATTTTGTCTGTTTGTAGATTTCTATCTAGACTTTCTATGTGTCGCGCAACCTCGGCCCTGGGTTTTCCCCCCCCTCCCCCGCCGTGTTTTTTCAGTGTCTTTGATTTTTAACAACAACCCTACGAGGACCAAGACTCGCCTGACGGATTCTGCCCTCCGTATCCCCCTTCCCCAATTCGGTGGGCTCCTGACCCCCCTTTTTTTCCCCCGGGGAAATTGCCATGCTGAGCACACCCAGCCTTGGATTGTGTTTCTCCCCCCCCCCCCCCCCAAATATTCTGGAATCTGGAAGATCCTTAGTAAGAAGCCGGCTAGTTGGGGGGGTACGAAGTTCTCCCTCTTCGGAGTCACTCCCCCGTTTTACTCTCTTCGGCCACACTGCTAGTCCTCAGCGTCTTCGCCATCTCTCCTCCCATCTTACCCTTTCTCTCCTGTCCCACCCACCCACCCCCCGGGCCTGCCGGGTGATCTCCTCTTAAACCTTTTTATTTATTAACTTGAATTCGACTTGTACTGCCAGGTTTTTTGGGGGGGGGGTTTTCCCTAAGTGTCTCAGCTCGCCTGGCGTTGGGGAGTTAGCGCCGCTGCCTCTCCCGGGGGACAGTCCCGAGTGCGAATCCTCCCCCCCCCCCCCCGCGCGCGGCGTTCTCTTTCCTTCTCTGCCTCCTCCGGACCACGGTGGGACTTTTTAACTGCCATTCACAGTCTTGTTGTAGAAACCGTTCCCCTCTCTCTCTCTCTCCCCCCCCCCGTTGTTTTGATTTTCGGAACAACGGGCGAACGACGCAACGAGCGTGTGACTCTTTTACATTCCACTCGTCCTTCTCCCAAAGGAGAGACGAGAAGACAACTTTCCCCCTCTTGTAGGACCTGTGTTTTCTTGCGATCACTGCCTCAAACCCGTAAGGAGTCGTGTGCCTGTGAGTGGGTGTGCATGCGTGGGTGTGTACGTGTGAATACAATAAGAGCAACGGAGGAGGAGGAGGAGCGGAAGGTTAGGGGGGCTCCTGCCCGTCTCCTTGCGGAAGACGCAAAAGAGCATTTGCTGAGCGGAACACAAAAATATCAGATTTGGCGACACCGGCATTCGTTGCGGCTCGTTCCCGGGACCGGGAGAGACCCTTCCCGACCGGTCCCGAGAACGAAACGAGGGCTGCGCCGTGGTTCTAATCCTGCGGTGAAGCTATAATTTATTCTTTAGGATTTCATTTATTTATTTTTGTCGACGCTGTTCTCTTTCCCGACGAAGGTGGGTTTCAAGCAGGAGACGGAAAGGGCTCGGTATGAATGGCGGTGGATAACAGACGCCCCTCCCTCCTCCTCCTCTTCCTCTTTGTGCACCCCCTCCCCAATGTTGGCCCTGTCCAAAGCTTGGCCACTTTTCAGCTTTGCAAAAAAACGTTGTCGTTGTGATCCTTGTGACGAGTGACCACCTCCTCAACCCCCCACCTCCCGTTTTCAGCACAAACTGCCATGTTTCCTGGGCCTGTTTATGACGTTGGCTACCTGTGAGGTTTTTTTTTTTTAAAAAAAGCGTTTTTGGGGGGGGGGTTACACCTGGCCTTCCCTCTTCCTCTCCCCCCCTCACTTCCTCCCCAAAAATGGAGGAAACAGCTGTATCCTGTCTGTACACAAATTTTCCCCCTGGGGCCAAGGAAATGTTTTGAAGAGGAAGAACCACCAAGACGTCTGCAAAAAACATTGGGGATACGGGGGTCCTCGGCGGGAGACCCTCCGGTCCAAATGCCCTGCTGGGGGCGGGGGAGAAAAAAAATGGATTTTGGGGCAGAAAAAGGGTCAGGAATGGGGCAGAAGCGAAAAAATGGGGAAGGTCTCCTGGCTCCTAGTTTGGGGGGACGACGGAGCGAGGAGAACTTGAACGGTTGAGTGTGGCCTTCACTTCCATCCTCAATGCTCAAGCTGGGGGGGGGGCGCTTCGGGGTGATCTGGGGAGAGAAGAATGGGGGGGGCGCACCTTGAGAAATGGAGCCCCAGGGACAGACGGGACGGGTCCTTGACGCATTGTCTTCCATATATAGTCTAGGAGAAGAGCTGTCTATGGTAGGAGGACACTGCAGTTTGCTTCTCCAAACTTATATTATTGAAAGGCAGATTGTTCGGAGGGGGGGGGAAGCTTTGCTGGGTGTTTGGAGGGGCTCCAATGTTTTTTTTTGGGGGGGAGGATTGAGCGGGATGCAAGTATTGTGAGTCAATGAACAGTTGTGGGTTGTGCGGACTTTCCCAAGGGTTCTTCCCACGTTGGCGCTGTCCGCTGTGCTGAAAAAGCAGCTTTGCAGTTGCCTTTTAATCAAAGCGGGCTCCTCGTAAAATAGTGTAAAGTGGCCTTTCCCCCCCCTCCTCCAACTTAAGCCACATTTTAAGATGGGGGGACTTCAACTCCCAGCCAGCCACTTTGACACATCCAGCCGAGATGGCTGGGGAATGCTGGGAGGTGAAGTCCACCCGTCTTTTAAGTGTGCCACGGTTGAGAAATAATTGGAATAGAGAAAGGTGTTTCTCAACCTTGACCATTTTAAGGCATGTGGACTTCAACTCCCAGAATTCCACACCCAGCATTGCTGGCTGTGGAATTGTGGGAGTTGAAGTCCACATGCCTTAAAATTTGTCAAGGTTGAGAAACACTGGTGTAAATGATTTATGGGGGGGGGCTTGGGAGGAAGGAAAGGGGTTGCCCTTCCCCAGTTGGTCAGCAGGTGTCGCTGTGGACGTGTGACTTGCCCAAGGAGATGGGAAAAGGGGAATTAAAAAAAACAACCAGAATTAAAAGGGAATAAAATTGATCCCAGCCGAAGCAGACTAGGGGCGGGAAGGACATTTCCTTGAGTAAATTGCCCAGCCAGCCCTGCTCCTCAGCAGGGGGAGAAAAAAAAGGGGGGGGGTAAGATCCAAATCTGGGATACAAGCAGGGTTTTTGACTATGCTGTGAAAAAGAAACAAACAAGAAAGAACTCATTGATGTTTGGAGAGAAAAATAAAAATAAAAACCTAACAATCAATAAATGTCCTGTGGAGAACGCCCCGAGGCTTGTCTATTTTTTTAAAAATATTTATTTCTCTTAAGTGGGTTTCTTTCGGGGCAAAGTGGGAGGGGGTCTCCCCGAAAACGGTACTATTTATCAAATGCTTCATGGGGATGGGGACGGAGTGGGTGGGGTGAGTGACCGATCAGGCCGAAAAAAAATGGATTTCTGTGCTTTTGATTTTTGCCTTCTGGAAATAAATGGGTTTTAGGGGAAATGGGCAATGGAGGTCAGCCTTGAGTTTTTCTATATAAGAGTCACAGAATAAACTTCCTTCCATCTTCCCTTTCCTTCTCCCTTTACCTCTTCTTTCCTTCCGTCCCTTTTCCCTTCTCGCTCTTTCTTTCCTTTTCTCCCTCTATCTTGAACTTTTTCCTTCCTTCATCCCTTTCCTTCCTCTCCCTTTATCCTTTCCTTCTTCCTTCCGTCTTCCCTTTCCTTCCTCCTCCCTTTACCTCTTCTTTCCTTCCATCCTTCCCTTGCTCCCTTTCCTTTTTCTCCCCTCCCTCCTCTCTTGAACTGTTTTCTTCGTTCATCCCTTTCCTTCCTCTCCTTTACCCCTTCTGTCTTCTCTTCCTCCCTTTACCTCTTCCCTCCTTCCATCTTCCCTTCCTCCCTGTACCTCTTCCCTTCCTCCCTCTTTCCTTTTCCCCTCCCTCCCACCTGTACCATGAACTTTTTCCTTCCTTCATCCCTCTCCCTTCCCTTCTCCTTCCGTCTCTCTTCGCTTCTTCCTCTTTCCTTCTTTTCCCCCTCCCTCCTCTACCTTGAACTTTCCTTCCTTCCTCCCTTTATCCCTTCCTCCTTTCCACCTCCTCTACCTTTACCTCTTTCTCCTTCCTTCCATTTAAAAGGTGTCAAAGAAAGTTGACCCAAGAATTAAATCTCGTGCCTGCTGTCAGGCGGATGAGTTCTCTTTGCAGCCAAAGGAAAACGTGGATTTGAATAGACCAGAGCAGAGAATTGGTGAAACAGACCGGCCATTTTTGCAAATGGCGAGGAGAGAGGGAAGCACGGCAGACCTCAGATCAACCAGCCAAATCTTGGGAGTGAACGCTTTGCTTTAAGGCAGTGGTTCTCAACCTTTCTAATGCCGCGACCCCATAATACAGTTCCCCATGTTGTGGTGACCCCCAACCACTTATACATCACCGGGTGCCAGGGGCGTGTCCAAAGAAAAGGGGGAAAAAATGGCGGACAGCCTTGTTTGGCGACCCCCGTGAAATGGTCGTTCAACCCCAAATGGGGTCCCGACCCACAGGTTGAGAACCACTGCTTTAAGGGGCAAGAAAGTCTTTTTTAAATTTTTTTCTGAAAACAAAACAAAAACAAAAAGGCTGTTTGTTTACCTACCTTGTGAACAACGCTGCAGTTTTCAACCCCACTGTGATCCTGACTAGCAAAAATTATTCTGATTTTTGTTGATGTGGAGAGAGAGAGACACACGCACCCCATTTTCTTAGCAATTTATTTGGAAATGACTGCTCTTGAGAAGAATTTTGCAACCTGCTGCTGATCACAGTCTAAAACCCTTGAATACCTGCCATGCAAGAATTCCTGCCCCCCCCCTCTTTTTTTTTCTGGAAATCTCAAAACCTTTCCTACGAGAAATGAAGATTAAGGAAGATTAAGGAAGATAGAAGGTGCAATTACACTAAACAATTACACTAAAAATATGATCCCTGGGTATATCCATATTTAAAACCAAGCAAATAAACGTGAGCACCATTCCTTGGTGCTCACGTTTATTTGCTTGGTTTTAAATATCTCTCTCTCTCTCTCTCTCTCTCAAAAAGGCTTGGCTTTTTGATGGCTCCATTCACACAAACCAGGTCTGAAGAGGAATAATAATAATAATAATAATAAAGTTAGAAGGGACCTTGGAGGTCATCTAGTCCAACCCCCTGCTCGGGCAGGAAACCCTATCCCACCCCCTGCTCGGGCAGGAAACCCTATCCCATTTCATGCAAACGGCTGTCCAGTCTCTTCTTAAAAAAAACTTCCAGTGTTGGAGAAGGGAGGGAGGGAAAGAAAGAGGGAGGGAGGAAGGAAGGAAGGAAGGAAGGAAGGAAGGAAGGAAGGAAAAAAAGAATAACAGACACAGAAGGGACCTTGGAGGTCATCTAGTCCAACCCTCTGCTCAGGCAGGAAACCCTATACCCTTTCAGACAAATGGCTGTCCAGTCCCTTCTTAAAAACTTCCAGTGTTGGAGCCTTCACAGCTTCTGGAGGCAGGTAGTTCCACTGGTTAATGGTTTTAACTGTCAGGAAGTTTCTCCTTAGTTCTGAATTTTATGCCTGTCCCTGGATGCTCTTTACTTCCTCCCCAAGGATAAGAAACTTTTTTATAGCGAGCAATTAGGATTCTTTGATTACGCTCTGTTGGACCGGCTACCTCAAGGAATTCTGGGAGTTGAAGTCCAGGGGTCGTGTAAAGGGGCTGGAACGACCCACCCCCGTTACAGAAAGACTAGAAAAATACAACGCAGGCATGATATAGTGCAGGGTCTCTTCTGCCTTCAGCGGGGGGTGGGGGGGACTAGAAGATCTCTAAGGTCCCTTCTGAGCTTGTGATACTATGTTAGACCCTTCCCCACCCACCCAGCCCTTTGTGCAGGGAACACCCCCCCTCCCCCCAAAAAATCCCTTGCTTTTTCCCCAAGGCTCAAAACTCAGCCCAAGTCACGGAGGGCTGGGCACCAACGCTAGGAAGCAAAGAGCTGTTTTTCCAGTCGGCTGCGGAGAAAGAACAGCGAGGCCCTGCGGCAGCTTTTTGCTATTAATAAATTTGACTCCTATAACGACCGGGAACAAAGTGTCCTCACCCTCCTGACCCAGTTTTTTCTGCAGAGCATTCAGCCCTCGGCTGGCACCTCGGGAGGCGAGGTTGCGGAGGGGCAGGCCTGGAGAGGAGAGCAACCCTCCCCGGGGATGGGCGAGGCCGGGTGGCACCCGACGTGGAGGAAGGAATTGGGTGCAAATACATACATACATACAGACGGCCTAATGTAAACCCCACTGTCTTCTAGCACTGATGGTGTTCCCTAGTTGGGTCAGGGGCTGCCCCAAAGAAGAGGGAGTCAAGCTATTCTCCAAAGCGGCTAAAGGCAGGACAAGAAGTAACGGGTGGAAACTCATCAAGGAGAGAAGCAACCTAGAACTAAGGAGAAACTTCCTGACCGTGAGAACAATTAACCAGTGGAACCACCTGCCTCCAGAAGCAGTGAATGCTCCAACACTGGAAGTTTTTAAGAAGAGACTGGACAGCCAATTGTCTGAAATGGTATAGGGTTTCCTGCCTGAGCAGGGGGTTGGACTAGATCAGTGGTTCTCAACCTTTTTAATGCGACCGCCAACCGGTCGTAAGTCGAGGACTACTCAACCGGTCGTAAGTCGAGGACTACTCAACTAGTGCAGCACCGTTTGCAGAATGGGACTTTTGGCGGGCTCAGCAGGGCAGAGGCAGCCTGGACAATTCCTATTGG